AAATTTCGTTTTTCCTCAATAACTCCTAAACCCTTGCAGATACGCGAAAAGTGCATAGGACCTTTCTTGTAGATCAGATCGTCCTCTACAAGAAAGGCACCCTAACGACCCCCCTACGTCCATCCGTTCGGGAGTTATTGAGGAAAAACGAAATTTGTTGTCGAAAGCGAAAATGCTTGGCTGAAAAGTTCATCGTGGCGCCATCTAGCGTTCACGGCTGCGAACATGTTTGACTCCAATATGTACGGCAATATTTCTGCAATTTTCGTTTTTCCTCAATAACTCCCGAACGGATGGACGTAGGGGGGTCGTTAGGGTGCCTTTCTTGTAGAGGACGATCTGACCTACAAGAAAGGTCCTATGCACTTTTCGCGTATCTGCAAGGGTTTAGGAGTTATTGAGGAAAAACGAAATTTCTTGTTAAAAGCGAAAATTCTTGGCTCCAATATTGCTGCACCAGAGAGAAAAACGGGTTCGCAGCCGTGAACGCTAGATGGCGCCACGAGCAACCCCAATGTGGCGTCACTGCGCCAACATATCTAGGGAGTTTTACGCCCTTGCGTTAAACCAATGTAGGCTTCTTCCTTAGCCGTTCAAACTCCTCAACGGTTAACAGTCCTCGTTAACGCATCATCGAGAACGCACGTTCGCGTTACAAATACACGTCTTACCTAAGCCGCGTTCCGCCGTATCCGAATCAATCGTTGATATCCGACGCGCATCCGCCCTCGCGGATTACTATTACGAATAGTGATTAAACGACGAATCGAAGCGAATCGATATCTTTTGTATCGAGCTCAAAATTTCTAGCCACGCGTGGCGATCGTACTTGTAAGCGACCACGAGGTTCGCCATTTTATACAGACATTGTACGCGGGCCTTTTCGCCATCAGAATAAACGATCCTGTGCAATCGTTAATCAGCGTTTATCATTTCTTGGAGGTAGAGCTCCATACCTGCCTCATCATAACGGTTCAGTAAATTTTATTATATGGGAGCAAAGGGTTTTGGAATCCGGAGTCAGATCATAACGGCTCTCGCCATGTGCATGCGTACCACGCATAAGACGATACCAGAGAGTCCTGCTGCCCTGCACACAGCCCCCACACCAAAATCATTATAATTAAAACGTTCTAAAATGTTAATTAACCTAATAATTGATTAAATAATAAGTAAATGATACAATGAACGAATAACGTTTATTATTTTTATAATTTACACCGTTCCTGTATTTTCACATTCCCTTTACATTCAATTTCAAAATAAAATTACATCAGTAACTATTTGTCCAGACGTAGGTTAAAATTGTTCTTATTTTGACGTGTCAAACAATATCGATCACAATTCTATAAACGCCTGATCGAGCATTGAAAAGATAAGACGTACACCAGAGCGTACACTTATTAACACTCGTTTTGAATTTCGTCCCCTCGGGGAAACTAACACATGCACATAGCTGGCAAGCGCCAGGCAAGCGCATGCAGCAGCTTTCTTGCTTTCCCGCGCGAATTGCTATGAAAGCCAAGAGCACATCGCCGGTCAAACATTCAACAAACGTCGCAGTCGCCGTGTTGTGTAAATAATATTTTGTGAAAATAGCAAGCGGAATCCGCGAGTAAAGAAAATGGATACGGTCGATCGGGATCAAAGGCTGGAGGAGATACAGAGGGAATACGTGGATTTCCTTGACGACACGGTAAGTGTCCAAACGGTTTCGTCGCCGATCATTTGGTACGCCGTTATTATTCTTGTTCGCTTTGCGTTGTTCGTCAGGAGGACCAAGGTATTTACACTAGTCTGGTTAAAAATATGATCGAAGAAAATAAGCAGAGGTTGTACGTAAACGTCAACGACTTGAGAAGAAAGAATCCTGGTCGCGCAGCAAGGTGCATGCGGTAGACGAATCACGAATCTATCCTAAATCGTTCTCGTCACCATTTTCTAACAATAATATTCATCGCCCACAGCCTATTGAACAATTCGTTTGAAGAACATCAAGCTTTCCAGAATGCTCTGAAGCAATTCGTCGCAACCATCGACACCGATTACGCAAAGGGAAACGTAGATTTTTTTATAGCGTTCGAAGGCAGCTTTGGAAACAAGCATGTCACACCAAGAACGCTCACGTCACGTTATCTAAGTAATTTGGTGTGCGTGGAAGGCATCGTTACAAAATGTAAGTCGACGCGAATCAAGGAGTTTTAATCGATCAGATTCAGGTGTAAATTTGAAATTCGACCAGGTTCCTTGGTGTGGCCAAAGGTCGTAAGAAGCGTTCATTATTGCAGTACGACAAAGACAGTTCTGGAAAGGGCTTACACAGACTTCACTTCCTTCGACGCGTTCCCCCAGTCCGCTGTGTATCCGACAACGGTAATTAACAGCGACTGAACTGAACTAAACGTATTGTTTCGATGCGACAGCGAATCAAGCATTGTGTAGTAATAACAATTTTTGAAACGTAGGACGAAGACGGTAATCCCTTGGAGACAGAGTTCGGTCTCTCCGTCTACAAGGATTATCAGACGTTGACTATACAAGAGATGCCAGAAAAAGCTCCGACCGGGCAGCTACCGAGGAGCGTAGACGTCGTTTGCGACAACGATTTGGTAGATCTTTGTAAGCCCGGGGACAGGGTTCAGATCGTTGGGAGTTATCGATGTATGCCGGGTAAACAAGGTGGTTATACGACGGGAACTTTTAGGTACGTTTACCTATCGATTCGGTGTCTCCTTCGAATCGTCGGGGTATCGTTTAAACGTCGATACCGTTTCTGTTTCTGCAGGACCATTTTAATTGCCAACAATATCATGCAACTGAGCAAAGAGGCTAATTTAACTATCTCTCACGATGACGTTGCGATATGTAAAAAGCTCGCCAAGAACAATCCCTGCAAAGACATTTTCGAGTTACTCAGCAAGTCGCTGGCACCTACTATTCACGGGCACGAATACGTGAAGAAGGCAATCTTATGTTTGCTGCTCGGTGGCGTGGAGAAATTGTTGCCGAACGGCACACGGCTGAGGGGGTAGGTATGAAGCGGTGTTAATCGACGTAACGAACGGGAGATTATTAACAAACATTTGATCGGTTCCTCGGAAAGAGATATCAACGTTCTGCTGATCGGTGACCCGTCAGTCGCTAAATCGCAGCTGCTGCGTTACGTCTTGTACACCGCGCCGAGAGCAATACCGACTACGGGCAGAGGATCGTCCGGCGTAGGTTTGACAGCTGCCGTTACCATGGACAACGAGACGGGAGAACGCCGGCTCGAAGCCGGGGCAATGGTGTTGGCCGATCGCGGAATCATCTGCATAGACGAATTCGACAAGATGTCGGACATCGATAGAACGGCCATACACGAGGTGATGGAACAAGGAAAAGTGACCATCGCTAAAGCCGGAATACATGCCAGTCTGAACGCTCGCTGTTCGGTATTGGCAGCCGCCAATCCGGTCTACGGAAGAGTAAGTTCTGTTCCGTTTTATACCCGATATAGAAATTGAGCAGGCGTACGTTTTTCCAGTACGATCAATATAAAACACCGATGGAGAATATCGGTTTGCAAGATTCGCTCCTTTCACGTTTCGATCTGTTGTTCGTCATACTGGACATCGTCGACTCCGAACAAGATCACATAATAAGCGACCACGTGGTTAGGATGCACAGGTATAGAAGTGCAACGGAACAAGATGGCGATGCTTTGCCGCTGAACACCAAACTGGACATGTTGACCACGAAGAATCCGGATCAAATCCTTGCCGAAGGAGCGGACACCCAGGTTTATCAGAAATACGATCCTCTGTTACACGGCTTGTTGCGATCGAGAAGGTACACGTTTGCAATTCCCCCAGGCTGCAATCAGTATCAATAGCGAGCATACAGTCAGCAATCGATTGAGTTCATTTTCAATTTCTTCCAGCGATCAGATTCTAAGCATAAACTTTATGAGGAAGTACATCCACATAGCTCGCTGCATGAAACCGAAGCTTACGGAAGAAGCTAGCAAAGTGATCGCCGCTGAGTATTCGAAACTCCGTTCGGAGGAGTCGATAGATTCCGACGTGGCCAGGGTACGCGCATCCTTTTTTTAACACTGATCAATCGAATCCTTCGTTCCATCGACGTTCGTCATTGATTCCAGACTCAACCAGTGACGGCCCGTACGTTGGAAACCTTGATTCGATTGGCAACCGCGCACGCGAAGGCGCGTTTGTCGAAAAACGTCACCGAGGAAGACGCTCACGCAGCGATAGAACTGGTAGAGTTCGCCTACTTCAAACGAGTGTTGGAGAAGGAGAAGAGGAAACGAAGACGGCAGGACAGCGAGGGAAGCGCCGGTGACGATCAGGCCGAGAGGAGGACGAAACGTACGAGGAGAACGGCGACGACGGCGACGGGTGAAGAGGATCCGTACAGTTTCGACAGCGGCGACGATGACGACAGCCACGTGGACGAGGCTGCGACCAGGATCACTAGATCCCAAAGGAAACCGGCCGAAACGAGTTCGTCGCGTCACGTCGATTCCGACCGCGCCGACGATCTGCCAGGAACCTCCGCAACTATCACCGACGAGAGGTGCGAGTTTCAGTTTATATTCTCGCCTTCTCCTTTATTCAACGCGTCGATTACTCTTTTCATCACGTTATTTCAGATTCAAGGTGTTCCGAACGCTTCTCCATAAGCTGTTCCAACGGGAAAGAGCGCAGTCGTTATCGTTGTCGAGAGTACGGGAGTATATCAACAGCGAACAGACTCAGGAGTTCACGTCGAGCGAAATTACCGCAGCAATTACTAAAATGTCCGATGCAAATCAAATTATGGCCGCGGACGATAATATCTTCCTGATGTAAACTGTAAGTCTGTCGTCTTGCTTTCTCGCGCTCGACGTACAACGTGCGTCGTGAGAATCTAGACAGTATTCTTCCTCTCAATAAATTATACTTTTTATACGAACAATCGGTTTTATACATTTTATATTTTATGCCGATCGATTATTATCGAGGTTTGTCCGTTCTCGTTGAAATAAAATATTCCGATACGGCTCAATATAATTGTATCTATCAACATTTATTATCTCTCCGCATTACGGTACAGCGTAACGTTGGCACGTAAACTAACAACAATGATCAACATTCATTACAGTACCCGGAAACGGTACCGATTACACCTCTAAGTTTCCCAATTTGTACGTACGCGCGTTGCGTTGTATACATGTACTTATATAAAATTAACTCGACACACGGATATAAATATAATAATCGTGCCGTCTCATTCATGTACGCGTATACCGAAGGCACGCCTTCGTGCACGCTTTCATGGTTAGAGAAAAACTTCCTCTCAAGTATACCAGCCGGCACAAATTTCTTCTTATCAACTCGACCATACGGAACCTTCACAGTTCGCCCAGCAAGTTATAAAAAATCTGTTACCTAACATCCAATTTTATGATCGTCCACAATATTCGATGGATTCTTCTTTTTCTCTACGACATTAACAATAAGCTGTAAAAAGCTTAACAATTGTCGGTATTAAAATCGTAACTTTCTTAAATTTATAATGCAGGCCTTTGGGACGTAATGTTACTCTCACAAATTAATAAGATTCGAGTTCGATCATTTTCACACGTCACACCTTTTATACGACCAAACTTTTCACAGCGAAAGCGTAACTGAAAGAAGATTACTTGGATTCATTGTACACATTCTTGTTCGCACTTTGAGAACGATCTCGGCCACCATTTCCACAGCTTGATCAATGTATTCTCTTTTTTTCTTTATGTATAAAACTTACTACACAATTCTATATTATCGTTCTATAGAAATTTTATAATACTTCAACACCGATAACGAGCACAAAATATGTGTGTAACGTGATCAACGGATCGCCTCAAGAAACACGTCGTTACGATCTACGAAAGATTACTACTACTCTACGTGGGACCTGAGTGTCTGCGATGGTAAGCTTAAACATCGAGGGAAAACGATAAATGAACGTACAGAGACGCGGACGACGATCTCGAACGAGAAAGTACCTATTTCTCAACAATTCCCTCGTGCAGTAGTAAAATAACGTCTCTCTTAGCCGTACGCCACTGGAAAACGGTCTATAAAAAAATAATCGAGTCGTAGAAGATAAATCATCTTACTACCGTTTCGCTTCGAAAAAATGATTCGCTATAAAAATGAGATCACGGTTCGTCTAAACCTCGTCTTCGCTGGACTCACTGCTGTACGCCAATTGTTCCTTCCACCATTCGCGAACCTCCAGCATAACGCTGCAAGGTTTCGTTTGAGCCGCCTTCGCACTGATCGCCTCTCGCTGTTGTCTCGCGGTTTGCTCGGCGGTTTCTGTGCAGATTATTTCTCGGATAGAAAACTCTGCGACGAAACGCAAGCGCGGTACGTTAGGTAGGAAAGTGTGCTCACGCGGTGGCCTGTTGTTCTTCTTCTTGGCCGCTGCGTTTTTGTCCTTTTCAGATCTGATCGATGCAGGATCGGACAGTGTGGGCGTCAAAAATTTTCTTCCCGATCCACTGCCTATGCTGTCGGATCTCGGAAGTACCATCGGTTTCTTCGGTTTGGGCCTCGCCTCCTCCTGCTCCAAAATTAGAACACGACGTGAGCACACAGTCATTTAAGGATGTATTGGCTATATGGTCATTACCAAAAGTTTATGTACCTTAGAAAAACGCATTTCCTATAATTAAAAATAGTGCATTTTTCTTCTAATTTCGATATTTAATGAGTTAGGTATGATTATTTGGCATTTTATTGATGTTGACAAAATCCGACCATTCTCCAGCGTNAAAAATCGAAAATTTTTTTTTTCTCAAAATATTGAAAAATGCTTTAAGTAAAAGTTGTAGATGATACTATTACCTATGAAAAATTTGAAATCACTATAATTTTAGCTTTTTAATAGTAATAGGAATGTATAATAACAAATTCAACATGCCAGCATTGTTTAAATATATGTATAGCCCATACATCCTTAAAACTCGTTTTCGCTACTTACCTTCGTCTCTATCTCCTCTTCCTTGGCCACTTCTTTGCCCTTCTCCTCCTGTTCCTGCGGTTGTTGCTGCTGTTGCTGCTGCTGCTGCTGCTGCTGGTGCTGGTGCTGGTGCTGCTGGTGGTGCTGCTGGTGCTGGTGCTGGTGCTGCTGCTGTTGCTGTTGCTGTTGCTGCTGCTGCTGCTGCTGCTGCTGCTGCTGCTGCGGCTGAAGTTGCGACTGTTGCTGAGATTGCGGCTGCTGCTGCTGCTGCTGTTGCTGTTGCTGTGGTTGAGGTTGCGGCTGAGATTGAGGCAGCGTCTGTGGTTGTGGTTGCGCCTGTGGTTGTGTCTGAGCTTGAGGCTGAGGCTGAGGCTGTAATTGTTGCTGTTGTTGTTGTTCGGAATTCGCGCGGAGGCCTGCCACGAGACTGTTCTGCTGCTTCTGCAACGTGAGTCAAAGGTCAGTGTTAACTCGCTTCGAATCATCCATCCTCGAACTCACCCCGCTTGCACGTATCTTCTTTAGACAACCTTCTAGCCAATTTCTTATGGTCTGCTTTGCCACCTCTTCCTCGATTATATATTCGAACTCCTCTCTCGCTAACAGTTCCTCGAGCTGCAAAGCTTTTCGAATCTCGACGGAACGATAGGACAGCATACTGAGAGTAAATTGCGGATAGATACATACGTCGGATTGGAAAACGAACGCGATCGAAAGATATATTTTACTCACTTGAGGACATCGTGAAAGGTGACGTCTTCGCCGTTGTTCAACTTTTCCAGCTCGTAGCACATATGCTTAAAGAGCACTCGATCCTTCTGCGGATCGGTCTCCAGTCGGCCTTTCAATAACCGTAAAATAAACTTCACCTAAAACAAACTGATGCATCATTATAGCCGATGCAGGAACGGCCGCGCGGCTCGTGACTTGTTATCAGCGTACCCGCTTCACTGGTATGAAACCTTTCTGATGGTTGTCGACCACGTTCCAAGTGTTCTGGAAGTTCCTGATGTCGGCGTAGGACAACAGCGCGTCCTCCTCGTTGGAATAGAACAACGAGAAGTTCTCCATGATGATAGCTGTCGCGAAGAGGTTTACGGTTTACGCGTTAACGCGTGTGTACGGTGATTCGACCAGAATTACGCGTGAGATTCGACTGCGAGTCGCAACGGTACTTACCCACCAGGAGATTCAACACGATGTAAGTGATGATCACGTAGAAGGTACAGAAGTAAATTAAGGAAGCATGAAAGTTGCCGCAATCGGTCTCCCAATAATTGGCAGCCGGGGTGCAATACGGCGGTTGTATCATGCAATCGTGCATTATCTTATTCCAGTCCTCCCCCGTGACGATACGGAATAGCATCGCGACGCCGGTGACGGGCGATTCAAAATTGGCACGCCTAAATTCGTACAATTATTCGAGATCCGATCAATTTCGTGATTTCGGGAGACTACCTCCCGCTGTCCTCCTCCCCGGTTTTATTATTTACCTGCCTATGCCTTCGCCGTACTTGACGGTCCCGAAGATGATCGTGCCGGCAAGCGCGTAAAAGAAAACGAGAAGAAACATGCCGAATATAATGAAAAAACTTTTGCAGACGGACACTCCGACCGTTAACATTAACATTTTCAGGGTCGTGTGTTTCCCGGTGATGGTGAAGAATCTAAGGATCACGACCATAAACCCGATCACGTATGTCAAATCGTACTGCAAGAAAGGTATACATTCCCGTAAATGATCGTTCTCCTAATGTCTCTAATGCCTGTTCAAACGTGTCCCTTTGTATTGAACACTGAAATCGGTTCGCTGACGATACATTACCTTCATTGTGGAATGCATGACGATCCAAACGACACCGACGACTGTCACGAGCAAATCATATCTGTTTCTTCTGGACTGCCAATAGCCACGTGGTGTAAAAGCAATATTTTTCATGATCACTTCCATGACGAAGATCAGAGTCAGAAACGCGGACGCCCTAGCGAGCGCTTTCGTGAGTTCCTCCTCGCTTCTCCACTTGAAGGGGGAGGAGAAAAAGGGATAAAAAAAAGATTAAAACACAAACGACGCATGTAGGTATCGAGTTTACTTTTACCACGGTCTAATGGTAGCCGGCAAGGAACAAATGATTCAAAGTAACAGTCATTCAATTATTGTCTTTAGAGAGTAGTGTACGCGCGCGCGCGCGCGCTCGTCGTGCGTGCGTGCGTGCGTGCGTGCGTGCGTGCGTGCGTGCGCGTGTGTGTGTCAATAATATTTAACAACGGTGTCGTCAAGTTTTCTTGTGTGTTGTTTTCGCGTAAGTGTCACGGGAATGGGTAAAAAATGATATGAAACTCACGGAGACGCAGAGCAGGCCACTGTTTACGAGCACCGTCACCGCGATGAATCTTTTGAAATAGATGTTCTGTGTCATATCGTAAATGGACGCTCTGAACTTCTTTCCATCCGGCCTAGGCGGTAAATGCAACGGTTGCGCGATTTTTAATCGCTTCTTTAAATCGCACCTATTTCAATGATAATAAATCAAATCGTTTATGCTTACGTAAAGGCCGGTCGAACCGGTGTTGATTGATCAAAACTTTACCATCGTCTTTGATCGACGGTGAGCAACGCGGTCCCTTTGTTCTCGGAATAATTGGCGATTACAACACCGACGAACAGAGTCAAACCAATCATACAACCCAGAAAAATATAGATGTGGATGTAAACGGCATGGACCTAAAAAATTACCTAATCATACATGTTCGTCGTCCCTTAGGCTGAACGTGCCCCCGTGTTCGTTTCATTGTTTTCGCGAGCTCGCGGATCACTTACAGGACCGAGGGCTTTTATGAGAACGTCTCTAACGTCGAGCCACCCTTTGAACGAGAGCACTTCGAAGAGTGCCATCAGTGCGTCACCGATATGGTCGAAATTGAATCTCCTCGGATTGGCCCTGAAACATCCATCTATGTACTCAGGGCCGTTCTGACCATCGATCTCCGAGTCCCGACGATTTCATCTGTAAATCCTACCAGACGCGCGGCACTAGTATGGATGGATAGCTCTCGTTTTCGCCAGGCTTCATCTTCATTTTGGTCACGAAGACCCTCCTCATGAACACCCCGACGCAGTCCTCCCGTTTCAGTATCGTCGGATCGTTGCAACGTGCTAATCTACCACCGTAAAGCTGCACACCGTAACTCGCGAATATGAACATCAGCAAAATCAACAGAGTGGACACCTAAAAAACTTGTCATGAAAACTTTTGTGTCTGAACGAACGGAGGTGTGTGTGCACACGTGTCTACGTCTCGACTGTCATTGAACACAACGAGTCGAGACTCCGATCGAATTCTTTACCAACAAGATCTCCTTGAAACCTCTGCACAATTCGTAGACGACTTTTCTCATGTGCGGGACGAGAGTGAAGATTCTTAGCGGTCGGACGCAACGCAAGATCATGAGAAGCTGCGCACCGGAATTTGGCGGTACCCTCCTCGGCATCCAACAGAGGAACACCAGGCTCACCTGGTGGTCAGATCTTTTTTACACTTCAATTCGACTGGGGGGAAATTCGGCCGAGAGTACGATGTCTATGCGTGTAAAAAGACGTACGACGTAGATGAAAACGTCTAGGACGGAAGCTACATCTTTGATGTAGGCCTTCGGCGTGAAGAAGAGTCCGTCCGCAAGGATCTTGAGCGTCAGTTCGACGCTCATGAAGATCACGAAACCGTACTCCGTAATCTGCAGCGCGGGAACTTCCATCACCCGGTACTGCGGCGTCTCGAACATCATCGAGATGCAGGACATCGTCGTGGCGAAGATCATCACCCAGTCGAGGTACGTGACCAACCCAAGGAAGTTGCTACGAATGCCGTGTTATCATGCTTCGCTGTGTTACCCTTTTGTTTAACGTTGTACCACCGGTGTACGATAAAGACTTTTTATCTTGGCTCGTTTGCGTCGCGTCGAATCGCAACTCAGGGACGACACAGGTAACAGATAACGAGTCTTTATCGTATTCCGTGGAGTCGAGCTGAGCCACGCAGCTCTTCATTGTTACAGTTTGAACCACTCACTGCAAACTTTTGTATTGAACCTTCCTCTCTTTACCCGTCAACGGATCTTTCACGTTCGTGTCGTACCTCGCGTAAACGAGCGACTGACAAATCTTACGGAATTTACTTTCCCGCGGCACCGCGAACAGCGGGGTGTCGAAGAACGGGTGATTCTCTCGCAGATCTTCTTCCCGTTGGTTTCTACGCAAGTGCAATGCAAGAGTGATAAAAAGAAGCAGTTCGATCCAAGAAAGAACAGAGTAAGTGTGTGTGTGTGTGTGTGTGTGTGTGTGTGTGTGTGTGTGTGTGTGTGTGTGTGAGTGAGTGAGTGGGTAAAAGCCGGTGGAAGGGAAACTGGAACGTCTTACCTTCGCATCTCGGCTTGTTGTCGCTTAGCTTGCAACAGTTTAATGTCCAAATCATGCGGTCTACTGCGAGAAGAGCTAACTCTGTTTATACCTCCGATATCACCGTTCTCCATCAGATGTTCGTACGTTTGCTTCAGCTTGATCGATCCGCTACGAACGCTTCTCCTAATCGACCTGTCCCAACACGATTATTTCCATCAGTCAGCTTTCAATTATCGATTCGTTCTTCGTTCTTAATTGTCAACTGAATTGTACTTTTTCTGATCGAGACGCAATTGCTTGGTACTACTGATCGTGCCCTGTGACTTTAGAAGACCTTTACCCGGCACCGGTATCATAGCAGAATCGCCTAGCAACAATCTTTGATTGTTCGAGTCACTGAAATTAATTAAGAACGTCCGTTACAACACGATGTTACACGTAGAAAGAAGCCGAATATTTTCTACTCGCTTTATGATGTAAGTAACAGCTGCTTTCTTCAGGCTGGTCGCAACGTTTCTCACTTTCGGTGGATCGTTCAGAATCTTTACTGGACGTTGTTTCCTGTAGATCATTTTCGAGTCGAACGTCTCATTGATCTTCTTTACGCCCTCGTTCTCGTCGGTTTCCATTTCAAAAACGAACTGTCTCATAAAGCTTTCGCGTACCTGGCAACGCGTCACGTACGCCACGTTATTCAATGTCCAGCAGCGGACGCGGATGTGAGGGGAAGGGGGGGGGGAGGTAGGGGTCTGTGGTTGAGATTTCTGACTCGGGACGGGTACTTGCCTTCGGCAGATTAAAGTCAGACGGCACTTTGTGCAAACAGGTCATTTGAGGACTGTCCGGGAACTTCTCAAAGATTCTCAATCTGAATGGCAGGGTTTCCTTTATCTCCGCGCTTTGCTCGCGGAATTTCAGCTGCTTCAACTTCTTGATGTCTTCGTCCAACTCGAGATTGTCCAAGATCACGGCGACGAACAGACTCAACACGATCTGAGAAGTGTCTCTCGTTCGTTAGAACGAAGATTTGTTAGATAAGCACTAGCGAGCAATTTAATCACGTACCAGCGTAACAAACAGATGATATAAAATGAAATACATAGCAACGAGCGGTGCCATCGTCTCGTGTGTCCTCATCATCGTTTCGTCCATAACGTCCACCCAAGCTTCTTGGGTCAAGATTTGGAACATGGACATGAACGCCTGAAAGTATGTTCGTATACACGTTTCCTTCGATCCGCTCGTTTGATTTACAGCGCGACAAGCGATACAAGTTACCTCTGGGAATGTTTCGAATTTGGTGAAGTTGCGGAGGAAGCAGAAAAGCTGCATAGAAATGCTGGATGATATGACCAGCAGGCACATGGTGAAAATGATCAGGCTGCCCAGCTTTTTCCCGGGACCAAAAATTTTGTAGACGAAATCCTCAAGCATCGGCGATGCCTTAATCAATCTGACTACTCTGAGAACCTAATTGCAAAACAACGACCACGTCAGTTTGTCATTTTCCCCTCGATTCCCCCCCGTCTCATCCTTTTAACATATCTTAATTTGTTCTGTGCTCTATTTCTTTTTCTTTTTTTTTTGTTTTTAGGGCTGAACGAAAGTTGATATAGAAACCTGAAAATACGTGAATCCAGAAAGATAGAAGAACGGAATGATGTGTATGGTTGTACCAATTGCCAACAGCAGCTCGAACTTGTGAATCGAGTGTTTGTAATAGCTGCGAAACCCGAGGCACCAGATTTTGAACAACGTCTCCAGGTCCAAGAAGACCGTGAACGCGATCTCGGCGTAGTAATAGTTGTCGTAGTACGTGTGCCTCGGTTGCTCGTCGTGTTTAAAGCTCATCGTCGCGGTGGTGATGCCGTTCGCGAGAATTGCGCACATCACCACCATGCGAAACTGTGGCGATCGTAGTATAGCGTGACAAATCGGAGAGGCCAGTCCACCGTGCTTGTTCTCGTCCAAAGTCACCAATTTCCACCCGTTGTCGTCTCCGGTCAATATCTGATGAATGAACATCGTCACGATGATCGCGCGCGCGTGGCTTCGACGCCGACGATGCGTATCTATGAGTTACGTTACTAACTTGCGAAGCGGTCTTGTTACTGATGTGCCCTCGAACGCCCCACATCTGTTGGAATTGTACCCGGATTTCGTTGAAGGTCTCCGTGATCACGGCTATGAAAACGTTCTTCACGAGCCATGCTAAGAAAAATATCATTGTGCTGAAGTAGAAGACCGCGCGCCAAGCGGGTAAACTGTCGATCGCGCGGTACATGATGAACACCCATCCCTCTTGCGACGCAGCTTGATAGACGGTAAAAATACTCGTGGCTGTAAAACGAAATTGTTTCTGTCACTACCTACCGTTACACGCGCGTTACAAGTGCGAACGGAATCGCCGGAAAAAACTCGCCGGCGAAGTCGGTTCTATTACCAAACTCGTCGAATCCATTGAATCCCATGATGTACTTGGAGAAGTCGAGCCGCATGCAAGTCATTCCTTCCGGACATTGGTATCCCGATCCGGGTTCGGTGGAGCAAAACGTGTCGGGAATAGCTAGACTATTTATAGTTACGTGCTTCGAGTCCGTGGTGTTGAGAACGCAATGGTTGTTCAATTCGCCGAAGAATTGAACGCCCAGAAGCCCGTAGAGAGACATGAAGAAGAGGAAGAACAGAGTCACGTTGTATATCTGTTGGCTCGACCGTCTGAAATTCATCGGATGATCGTATGATTCGCTCTACGATATCGTACTTACGACAAACGAACACCGTTTCCCACTCACTTGAAAATCTGATTGATCCTGGCCTTGGGCATGGAGAACTTGAGGAAGACACGTAGGAAGCGTATCATGATTAGCGGTCGCGGTGCTCTCAGAATCGACACGTAACTGAACTCCGAGACGAAACCGAGCGTCTCGAACATCTGTAAAATTACGGAGAACCACAGGATGACCACCATGCTGCCGTCGAACTGGCACCAATGATCTTTCAGGTAAGCTTTGTCCCTCTGGAACGCGATTCCCGATAAAATGCCCGTCGTCTCGCGTCTCGTATCTCGCACCTCGGGCAAACAATTAAAGTTGCGCGAATTACCTTCAATATACCTCTTATGTGCATTTTGGCGAGCATCTCTGCGGTGAACAGGAACGTGATGATCAAATCGCAAACGAAGGTGACGTATCGAAGTGGCGGAACTTTTTCAAAAGTCCTCGGCGTGTTCAAGCAAACGGAAGTTAGAGAGACCAATGCGCAGGATCTCATCAATCTTCTCACCCATAACTTCCGTCGGAATGAAACGAAACATTGGTTTCTGTGGTACACTGCGCTGTCACGTATGAACACAAGTACGCGGGAGACTGTTAGATATGTAGAATAGCTACCTTGTTCACCCATTCTATGTCAGCGCTCTCATTGAGGGACTCTTCTGGTCCGTAATCGGCCAAGACGGGTTCCCCCTTGAGGCTCTGTTTGCGCCCCAACATCATAATAGGGATTATGTTCGCAATGGTGAGGCCTACGATCGAGCAACCATGTCCACCGATAAGAAATCGTCGACCGTCTCATGGCACACCGTTTCGTGCAATCGTTCCCAGTAGTACACGTATGCCCATTGTAAAAAAAATCAGTTAGTCACCGACCTACCTTCTTCCTAAAAATTTCGACGACGACGACGGATCTGCCTTTACGGCGTATCGTACACAGACTACATTTCAGTCTGAAGTAACGACAATTCCAACGGTGAACGTGTAACGAACGTTTAACGACAGTGACAACAAGCTGACGGCATGGCGAATGAACATTTTTTGATTCACGATTCCGAATTATTTTCATCCGACGGCGTATGCATTCGCGGCGAGCATGAGCAGTGGTATCGGCGTCGGCGTCGTCTGCCCCCCCCCCCCCCCCCCCCCCCCCCCCCCCCCCCCCCCCCCCCCCCCCCCCCCCCCCCCCCCCCCCCCCCCCCCCCCCCCCCCCCCCCCCCCCCCCCCCCCCCCCCCC